AAAAAATCCAAATCCTAAAATGATGGGCTAGAAGAGATCCAGTGCAGAACGGTCCACTATCCTACACCAATATGAGATGTAGCCAGTCAACTCAAAGGGTACGTCTACACTTACTGGAGGGTCCGGCGGCAGGCAATCGATGTTCTGGGATCGATTTATCGCGTCTGGTTTAGATGCGATAAATCGATCCCGGAAGTGCTCGCCGTCGACGCCGGTACTCCAGCTCGGCGAGAGGAGTACGCGGCATCGACGGGGGAGCCTCCCTGCCGCGTCTGGACCCGCGATAAGTTCGGACTAAGGTACTTCGAATTCAGCTACGTTATTAACGTAGCTGAATTTGCGTACCTTAGTCTGAAGTGGGGGCTTAGCAGGGACCAGGCCAAAAATATCTAATTTCAATGTCTCAACCTTCCACAGCCAATTATTCTAGTCACTTGACCTATCTGCAATATTATAGCATTTTGGCTGTTTTAATCTGATTAGAAAGACAGAAATAAGAACCAGCAACATGTGACCAACCAGCACTCCAGACTACCAGTGGCTCATGAGACACAGCTTAAGAAACCATTAGTCCAACAGCGGATCTCAACCTTTGGGGTCCCGACCCCATTTTAATGGGCTCATCAGGGCTGGCATTAGACTTGTTCAGGCCCAGGACTGAAGCCTGAGCCCAACCATCCAGGGCTGAAGCCGAAGCCTGAGCCCCAGTGCCCGGGACTGAAGCCAAAGGCCCACTGCCCGGGGCTCAGGCTTCGGCTTGAGCCCTGGATGGCGGGGCTCAGGATACAGCCCCCCCACATCTGGGGCTGAAGCCCTCAGGCTTAGGCTCAGGCTTCGATCCCCTTTCTCGGGGTTATGTAGAAATCTTTGTTGTCAGAAGCGGTCGCAGTGCAATGAAGTTTGAGAACCCAACATAAATTTTCCCTTTGATAATTTTAAACTAACTCCCTAGGAGATAGCACTTTCCCCAGCTGTATGAAGTATTTGTACGCAATTATAGTTTCCACCATTTGAGCCAGTCTACATTAGAATTACAAATGAGTCAGGGGACCTATTTACAACTTGGTTCCATTTTAGAACATAGATGGAATTTTAACCAAGTTCCATAATCAGGACACGTCCAAAAATTTGGCCCAGTTACAGAACTTAGTTAAGAGCCTGTCTACTCTGCTAAATAGAACTGTGTTGTAACTAGGTCTATTCTGATTTGGTTGTAACTGAACTGGATAGGCCCTTTGTCATCCTCTCTCTAAACTTTTCATATTAAGTGTCAAATTTTGTAAGGTGCTTAGCACCCTCATCCAGGGCCGGTGCAAGGAAGTTTCGCGCCCTAGGCGAAACTTCCACCTTGCGCCCTCCCCCCACAGCCCTGCGGCAGCTCCCCGCCCCCCGGGGAGCCGTGAGGCAGCTCCCCAGCCCAGCTCACCTCTGCTCCGCCTCCTCCCCTGAGCACGCCGCCCCCCACTCTAATTCTCCTCCCCTCCCAGGCTTGCGGCGCCAAACAGCTGACTGGCACTGCAAGCCTGGGAGGCGGGAGAAGTGGAGCAGCGACCACGCGCTCGGGGAGGGGGCGTAGCAGAGATGAGCTGGGGTGGGGAGCTGCCGTGGGGGGGGTACCTTATGGAGGGGAGGAGTTGCCGCAGGGCTCCCCACCCCAGCTCACCTCTGCTACGCCCCCTCCCTGAGCACGCCGCCCCCGCTGGCAATGACAATAATTGCATGGAGCGGCCACTGCGCTGGGAGAGGGAGTCTGAGCTGCACATGTCAGCACGCCGCCGGCAGCCCAGCCCAGGAACACTGTAAAAAAAAAAAAAATTGGGGGCACCGCTTTTTGGTGAAGTAAGTAATTTTAAATTAATCTAAGATACGTCGACTTCAGCTACGTTATTCTCGTAGCTGAAGTTGCGTATCTTAGATCGATTCCCTCCCCCCCAAGTGTAGACCAGGCCTTTGTTCTTTCTATAGGCTGAGTGCATTACACCCACCGGAGGCTCTTACATTCCTCCCTTCCCCTCCACAAGCTCCCTATGTTCCACCATCCTATTCCCGCTATTTCAGGGACTCCCTGCAACCCCATCCCTCCTCTCATGCCAGTGACTCCATGTGTCCCCCATGTCTACCTTTCAATTTTTCCAATTTTCACCAAAATCCATAAGGTTCTGGCCATTGATGCTTAAACCATTCCCTGAAATTTTGGAATTGATCAGATGTAGCACTCAAAAGTTATTGGATTACAAACAAACGCCATCAAATTGAGTGTAAGGCCTTCCTTTGCTTGATCATTTAAGCCACTTCTGGCACTCAAAGGTGTGTAGTTGGCAATAAGCATTTAATGCCACTTGCTTGATGCAGTGATCAAAAAATCCACTCGCCTGTAGTCTTATCAGTTTTCACTGCTACTGCTCTAAACACTGTGGGCAGTAGTGAAAGTGGGAAGAATAATCATAAATATTCTGCTGCTGCTTAAGAATGCTTTGAGCAGAAGCTATCCACAGCATAGCAGCCCTCAAAAAGAGAGGCCAAGAAAGGAATAGAGAAAGAGGAACCCACTGTGAGCAACCAGGTTGAATGAATGATAGAATGCAGGTACACACATATATGATGCCCATCACATCAGTGAGGAAATTTGGAGAGACAACGAGTAACAGGCACACTTTCCACCGACTCTCACAAGAGTGAGGAGGCTCTGCAAATGGAGTGGGGAAATTGAGAGAATGCTTCCTCTGTCACCCAGCAACAGAGGGAGATAAATACAGACACACACTAGTCAGAGTCTACTATGAAAAATTGAACCTGCAAGCAGTTGGGGCAATATCCTCTTCTTTCCACTCACAGAGGAAAGTAATAGAGAATACTGCCTTTTCACCTGGGCTTTGTCCCTGTATAATGGGGCCCCTATCCCTGACTCTGGATAGTAGGTTTAATCCTACAGCTTTTAGGTATCTGGTGAAATTTCCACATCTTAGACCATCTGTGACTGGATAGGAATGAGTAGGCAGACAAATAAACTGAAGGGATAAGACAGAATAGGGAAGTGTGATATAGACAAGGAAATAAAGAGGAAAGAGAAAAGGAGAGGAAGTAGTGAATACACTGCAGAAAAAAAAACAGAAAAAAGGATGAGACACTTAAGACAACTCAATAAAAACACACTATGATCTACTATAGGGAAGAAGAGGGGAAAAAAATAAAATGAAGTCAGGATGAGAAAGATGCAACATCAAAAGCAAGAGAAGTGTTGTAGGTTATATTTTTACAAAATCATTAAATAGAAAGTTCACTTGCAACATGGCACCACTGAATACAATACACACAACTGTTTTATTCCTTTAAGCAAACAGTTACAGCCTGAGGCAGAGACAAAAAAGAATTTGCCATTTAAAGGGACTGAATTTGAAGGGAGCATTACCCTAATATCTTTCCTATAGTCACTGACAGAATTAATGATTAAATAAATTTTGTCACCTTTTTATTTCCTCCACCAGCTTCATTAGTGGATTCATGTCTCATTTTCAAATAACAATTGCTTGTACATTGTAGTATTCTTGTCCTTGAAAATTCTCTGTTGCACAAGCTAAAGTCCTATCAGCATTTATAAAGTGCTTATCAGTGTGGTGTATATACTGGCTGTACATGTATTAAAAAAAAATGTCAAGAATCATCAGTAAAAAAAAAAAAAGATGCCAAGAATCATCATTAAAATCTACTCATGGTTGAGAATGTTATGAAGTAAATTGATTTAATTGGACTGATAAAGATACACAAAGCAGTGTTAGACACTTCATGAAAATTTCAAAACAGAACTAATTTAAATTTTCATCACAAAAGCTACTTA